TTGGAATCCGTGGCCAGGAGAACCGTACCATCTTCACGAATCAAAGGCTGCTGGATGTTCACAAGCATCCCTGGATCAAGAAGACCTGTTTGTCTATTGAAGACACAAAGAAACCCAGAGTAGCTTCTAACATTTTCTGCACAGTGTGTTCATGCTGCATTTATCTGCCTTTCCTATCTGCAAGGCTGTTTGCTAAGAGAAAAGCTCTAACACTCAGCCTAGGCTGAGTGGCCAGCTCTCTGCTCTTGCTGATGAGCACCTCACAAAGCCAGGTTACAGGCTGCGAGAGGACAGAACACATGCATATCCCTAGACCTTCTATACTAACTGTGGCCATTTTCCCCAAAGTTAAAATTCAAAGAATTGTTCAGAGACCCTCAACTTCAGCTCTTTGTGTAACACATTTTAGATCTCTGGTTTTCCTTATTTCTGTTCTCTTGAAAACCAGTTCAGAATGTGTTAAAGAGATTGTACAAGCTAGTTTGTGGCATTATCTGGGCCTTTCTTCACCTTGGGCCTTTTGTCTATACTGGAAAAAGTAAAATAAAAGGCCTGGCTCTTTCTGAGGGAAAGGACAACAGCAACAGCAAGGGATAAGAAGGCGGTCTTGGTCTCAGCTCTTGGCTGCTGCTCTGACCTCTTGGGTTTTTAACTCTGCATTTGGCTTGGTGATTCTTATTTAATAAAACCGTTCAGAATTATAAACAAACAAACAAATAAATAAATAAAATAAAAGGCCTGTACTCTGAGTTACAGACAGCTATTTTCCTGTATGAATGAAGCCTAAACTGCAGCATCAATTGTGCCCAGAGTGACCCTCAGCAATGTTAAGTGAACTCCAAAGAGAGAACGAGGCATGCCAGGGCTGTGGCAGGCAGGTGAGAGCCATGTGTGTGCCCTTTCCAGGGACATCTGCACTTCCTCTGGCCAGTTTGGAGGCCAATCACAGTGCTGCTCTGTGTGAACAGGAGACTGACCTTGCTCCATCCTTGTCTGCCACAAATGTGGGAGTGGCTATCAGAGGACTTCTCAGGTCTTTCCGGATATAGATCTTCTCAGTCGAAGCAGCACA